TTTATGCTAGATCATGTGCTCTGCTTTGATGTGTATAATCATTATAATCAATTAGAACAGGTTAACATGCAGCTCGTTTAAGTTTATGTTATTTATATAATTAATAAACTAATTTCATATCAATAATTGCATTAACCAGAAAGGAGAACAAAATGCATACCAAATGATATATGTATATTTCCAGAAACACAACAGTGTCAAGGGAACTTCTTTGGAAATTGATATTCCGGAGTATTTGAGAGAATTAACATTACGCTTTGTCATATTTTACGAACAGTTATTACGGGGAAATATTTCGTAGTATCAAAAGCACAAATTATTGAACTGTTTGATATATCAATTGCAGAAAATCAACACATTCATGAGTATTAGTCGAAATAATTCTCATAATCATTACTAATTATTCTGATATAGTCATAGTTTTATTTCTAGAGTGTTGTCTCATAATACATTCTTAAGTTAATAAAGGTTGTGCATGCATCTACATGTATGTGTTTAAGAAAACGTCGGAGTCTGAATCCAGAATGCAACATACAGCACCTTAACTTACAGTTGCAAATGAAATTATCTTCTCTGTCAGCTTTTATTCTGGTTAGGATCATATTAATTTGTTCACTTTGGGTTAAATTGTTACACATTGCAAAAATCTATATAAAGTAGAAACACAATGATATTTGTTGATAGAAATAAACATAGTTTCTAAGCTAAAAGACGAATTGTACTGATCTAAATTCGAGACAAAATCACTTTTTATTGGGAAATAGGCAATACAAGTCCGTCAAAATTGATTTATTGACTCAATATATCAGCAATTGATATGAATTAGAGCAAAAAATACGCACATTGTACCTTTGTACACTTTCATTTTAGTGTTTGATTTTTCTACTCAGTATTCATTAATTAGGATTTTAAAACATATTCGATGGCATAATATTGTATATAATATAGTTCAATCTTACAACCTGCTGATAAAATCTTTCTTATCTTGCATAGTAATAAACAAAATGACAATAAAACAGATAATAATTTTTAAGAAAAAAAATCAGTTCGTTAAAATATGATAGGTTATTTTTTTACCAAAAGAGCCGTATATTGTTTCCAACGTTCTTAAGGTGCTATATACATACACATCTAATTTCAATTCGACGAGCATACTAGTTAAAAGAAAAAACATAGCAAAAGAACATGGTTTCAAAATTGTTGTAGATGGTTCTTACTTTGTTTAGATTAACACCATGCAAGATAATCAATTAGACAATGGAAATGAAATATACAGAGGTTGACAGGAATCATTGTCTGAAGTTTCATATCCGAGTATTCTTTTTATAGAATGGCAAATATATCAGCAGTTCTTTACGAACAGTACAGTAAAATTCTTTTCTAAACGGAAAGTGAGATTTATAGAAGCAAATGCATTTACTTGGTCGGGACAAAAAATGGCAATTCAATCCGAATATTTGTGCATTATAATTTAGATGCCTTTAGATTCCGATTCATTTTTATATTAAGCATTAACCGACCCAATGTCAAATGAGAATGATATGAACGTTGCAGTTATTCAGGAGACGTGCGTTTGTAATGGATGGTGATTTGTTAAAACATACAATAAACTATTTACCGAGAATGTGATTCCGTTTTAACTTTACATACGTTTTCAAAAATTAAAACCTTATCTTAAAACAATGAACTTTAATAAACGACGAAGACATTAAGGAGGTATTTATGTTGACTCTGATAAATAATTAATATATAAATTCACTCTGCTCTCAAGATAAATATTGCATATCTTTATCATATCACCAGAAATGTTTGCATTTCTAGTTACTTAACGTAAGAGCTTGTATTTTGTATATTTTTCCAAGATCTTTTATAATCCCGTGCATTATTTGCCATTCAACACCAAACTGATCCAAACATGTATAATAAGGAAATAATGACGAATCATATGTTTTACATTTTTTGTGATTACTTTTACATAACTGAAAATTATCTACAATTTACAGAACGGTCATTGATTGGATAAAACATGATAAAAATAATAAGAATTTTGATAAATATTTTTCAAATCACCACCTGATGAGTATCAATGGGCTACAATAGAATAAGAGATGTTGATCTTGATATTGAAATACTACAATAATATTCAATAGTCAAATCTCAGACATCTAGTTTGAGAAAATCAGATGCGTTATTACAGAGAAAACCTTTTAAGACAACAAAGAAAAAGGAGAATTCAGTTATTGTCATGCATTATATGCAAGCTGCTAGAGAAAGAGCGTATTAATTCAGGAAACAAGGTTATATACTGACCTAAGTTGACCTTGAGAGAACTGGTACAGACTGGAAATTGATAACAAGAGTATATACTTAAGCTGTATTGCACTAAACATAATTACAAGACGGAACAACACATTCGTAAAGAGATTTGTTCATTCGATGAAAATTTTTAGCTGTATAAAAAGCTTAAGTTAGAAATGATAGATAATGCCTAATATAAATATGAGCACCTCTTTATAAAATGTACGTATAGAAATAAGATATATTTTAATATATTATAAACAATTTACAATTATACATTATTTTATTTGTTATTTTCATGTTTAACGGATGTCAGAAGTCATCTAAGATACAGACAATGAATAAGAAGAAACGTTTTGGATAAAGTTACATAATAAGTGCCTTTGAAAACCATAATAAAAAGCCTTTGCTACATATTTTCACTAAATCCAAGCACTAATTATTGACTTACAAACACGTCTTTAAAGTGACATTAATCGTTTGATCAAATCTGTTCCTAACGGCTGCCTTCTAAACTCAGTGTAATTACTTTAAAAGATATGGCTGATCGACAATATAACTGGTACCAAACATCAAAAACAATCTTATATTCCTTCTAAGACAGTTTCATGTCAATCATTTCTTTTTTATAATGAGTATGTTTTTCAGCGGTCATTATTGTCACTTTTAACTTCTTTAACTAGTGCATTATACAATAAACAATTATAATCTGTGTCATTCTGTCATGAATTGACTTGCTAATATTCAGTGAACTAAGAGTAATAGCTTGCACTTGATACCAGGAAACAATATCTACTAGGATACCGACAACAAGTAAGAAGGATGGCTTAAAAGCGCTTTAATTAAATCACATAAAAATTTGCTTTTTATAATCAAATGTGTCGGCTTTTATTTTATTGATGCAATGCTAGTTTAATGCACATATGAAAATGAAATTAAGTACAGTTTGTAAGTTTAGTGGGCGTATTTTCCCCTTTTTCTAAAGCTTTGTTTTTACCAGAAATATGTAAAATTTAAATGCCAATCACTTGATTAGATTTCTATCGATATTCATCCCTGAATGTTTACCGTGTCTACCTCAATTGTTTCATAAGTTACATTCAGTTTAAATATTTTTATATCCTATTTTTGTGCTGCTTTTACATTCTTTTAACCACTTAAAATGATCTTGCTCGTTTGAATATATGAACATATTTCGCTCAAAATTGTACCTTTTTGCTTATACGTTTTGTAAGTTAAGTCCTTTAGTTAACTTTGATAACACGGAATTTAAATTAAATAATTTTTGCAGCCTCCTTTGTTTCACATTTTTCTTTTTGTGTAGTGCTATCTGCTAAATGTTAACTGCTAAACATTACAATGTTGCAGATACCAACTGATTATATAGAACTTACTTTTTATCACAATCACCGGTTCGGGTACACTTTTATGTAATACATCCTCGGTAACCAAGGCATACCCGTTCGTGTACCCTACATTTGCACGCGTTAAATTAGTGAAATTAGTACCAATGGTTACATGATGTCGTGACATCTGTTAATGTATAAAAGATGTATGGGCAAAAGATAAAAAACATTATAATCTTACAGATACCAACTGGATTTTAACCTTAATTACCGGTTCGAATACACATACCATCATGTGAGGCATCTTCGGTAACCCATAGGCATACTTGTTCGTGTTCCCATCATTTGCATGAGCTTAGTTAGATGAATGTGTATCAATGGTTTCCGACTATGGTGTGAGGAATATATTTAGTACACGTTAGAAGGGTCTATATTTTTGCTTGTGTGTTTGTTTGTGTCAAAGTTATTCCAGCAAATTGAACATGAAACAAGGTTTACTTATTGAGTATGAAATGTTTTAACCTTTTTGTGTTGAAAAATATTTTTTATATATGACTTTCTGGTAGTTTTGTTCGGACTCCTCTTGTAACATTAATTTTTAAGCTTTCCTACGGGTTTAAAATTATGTCAAATTCAAAATGATATATGGTCTAACCTAATGTAAGCAGAAAATTTATGACCTTCTTATTTCGGGAAAGTGCATAAATAAAGCTCGACATATGCAATTTAAGGTTGTAAAAACATAAAGTTGGAAACATCTTGAAAGTTTATCCTATTTGTATCTGATGTTTGACAAACGCAACAAAAACAGAATTAAAATATTACGGTAAAACAAAACAGGAACAATATTTCTGCCTCCCAACTAAGAAAATAAAATTGCTCTGAGCACGTTTTCTTGTCGGGCATATTCAGCTTTTGCCTTATAGTGATTAATTAGAAGTAAAGAATTGTGACTTGCATCAATTCTACATCTACTCGTATATGATAAATAACAATAGATAGACTTCCAAAAAAATCCGTTTACAACATAACATTTATTTTATATTCAAAACGTTATCGTTCTGTTATATCAACAATGATCGTAAAATATTGATTCAGCTATTGTTTGGGTTTCATAACATGTGATGTTGGGTCAAACGTTCTTCATGAACGTTTTTCATATTATGTTACATTTTTATGCATTTTTTTTCAGTTTTCTGTCCTTTAAATATGGTCTCATTTGTACAACTTCCATCTTCTTAGTTACAAAGTCTGCAGTCACGTAACTATTTAACCATTTATTCTTTTTTGTGATGAATTTTATTTCAGCAAATAGTTTTAATGCAGACCAGAAGATAGAAATGACAACAAACATACTTATAAAATATCAATTTAATTAACGTCTTTACAGAACATTCAATGGATAACATAAATAACGGATTTATCATTGTAAGAAAGAGACATTATAAAAAATGCTCCTGTGGTTTCATGCAAACAATTTATATGTCACAGGCACATGACTGTATAATTGACAACAAATCATGTTGCGTATCCTTACTTTTACTTGGAAGAGGGACAATCAGTGTAATAGTTCAGGGAATTTAAAGGGATAATATGAACATAAATAGCATTATTTAAATGAACATATACAATAATGAAAGATTAAAGTAATCGAATGCGCCGCTTGTTTCAGTATGAAAAGCAAATAACAGTATTGGAAATGTATAAATGAAATTTATATTCGTAATATTAAACATAATTTTAGTTTTCAAGTTGACAAGATCACATTATTTTCTCAAAAAAAAAAACTTTATAATAATACGTTTTTATTATTTTTCTTATATTTTACAAACGTTTGTATATACTTAATAGCTAAACATATTTAATTCTTATTAGTTAGCACTTAGCACATCACATAAGTAAGGATAGCAACATTTAAATAGAACAATGAACAATAAACAAACAAATAATCAAAAACACAGTTTATCACAGATATGGGAACGTAAGCATAGACAACATCCGAAATATCCAATAGTTTTTGTTCGTATGTTCAGGTGGAAATATTGAACTTGAGGAAGGAAACACCAAGTATCATTTCTTTTATTTCGTCTATAAACATTTATTTACATTTTTGTGCATTTTCTTATTGTATTGTATTCACTTATTGTAATAAATCCATTTATTACACCCTTTGTTAATATCCATTAACTAAATATAATGAATTAATCTATAATAACAAGTTGTTATTTACAACTGTTGTTATCCTTTTTTTAGTAAATATTATATTCAAATTTCTGAATAGACTTTCTACCGTTTGGTTATGAAAATAAACATCAAATCTTTGGAAAAATATGAACACATGTGATATCTCTACATTTTGGCGCCAAAACGTTTTACAAGCACTTTGTACTCCTGTTTGCAATAGGAATGCTTAGCACATCCATTTTATCTGTTTATCACAACCTATAAAATTCAATCTTACACTTGAAAGCACAATTTTATACATTTATCAATTATAGAAAACCAGCATCGATTGACAGCGATTTTCCATGTCTCCCCCTTTTGCTACAACCGGTGGGACTAGACTCTTCATTTTCCTTTGACGCGTTGCCTTTACTGTTATTTAATGCTCTACAACGACCCTTTGCTTCTAAAATTTGCGATATCCAGCTTGCCTGTATATAATTAAGAAAATGAAAATGATTTAAGATATTTCAGAAAAGAATTCTTCTAAAACAATTATTATAATAAAATCAAATAGTTCTAATCGGTATGCGAAAAAATGATGCTACTATATATCTATGAAAATGAAATTACTCTCTAGAGCACCTAAAAGGGACCTTATTTCAAGTTACTTATTTTCTGATCATGTGCTTTACGTTGAAGATTTCGAAAGTTGAGTCACATGTTTCTTTGAAATTAATTGCCATAAAATAAAAATATTCTAAATTAGTAATTTAACAATTCAAATTCAACTGATTTAGTAATATGAGAAGAAATTTTGCTTTTTTTATCTCATAAATCATGAAATGACGAACTATATCTGGAAAACCGCTTTAGAACTTACCTTGACAGCATCAGAGGGTGCTTGTAACGTAAATACATCTATAATTTGTTGAAATCTACTTATCTGTACTATCACAAAGGCGCTTTTCAAGCCATTAGCTGTAAAATACATTTATTATTATATTATGTATTCAGATATAGAGGTATTTTAGGAAAAGAAATTTTACTTCTAGTCACTCTTGTTTGTGATAAAGATTAGTTAGTCATATATTTTTGTTGTCATTTACATTTTAATCAAACATTTAAAATTGATTAAGAACATTAAGGATTATTTTGAATGGTACCTGTAGCTTCCGGTGGCATAACGTCATGAACGCCTAGGCGATCAAGTGCTATTGGTTGTCTGTGAACTGTGTACATTTGATTGTCCGGTTGACCCGTTGTTGAATGGATGTCGGATGAAGATTGTTTCTATAAAAGCAGAAAAAACATGTGTCTATGATAATAAATTAATGTTTTCAATGTATAAAAGAAGGCTTACTTGGGCTTAAAAGAACAGCACATATATACTTTATGATTTGCAAGTGATAACTTTTTTATTTTAATTAGGTATAGATATGATTTTATTTATTAGACTTTGATATTAATTGATTAATACATGTACTATTTAGCTATAAATTCAGAAGCTATCCTGAAACTAATATGTTGTAACGCTTTAACTATTGTAATTTGTTCTTTATAACACGATACTAAGTGTTGATGTTTAAAAGTAAATAAAATAACTTACTTTTCTATTTGGTTTCTTTATTTTAGTTATGAGCAAAATGTCATCAAACAAAAACATGTAAGCATCAAATGACTTTGTTGATTCTGCAATTTCAAGGAATAAAATATTAAAATTGCATACGACACTTTTCTAAATATATTCAGTCAATGAGATTACGGACTAGGATATCCATAACTATATGTGAACAGGCTTCATCAAACAGAGCATGAAACAGTGCTAATTTTGCAGATTTCGCCGAGCATTAATATTATCTCTGGTATATCGAAATTGAAATGGCAAAGGTGGCAACAGTGGCATATTAGAATGGGAAACCTTTTATCATTACATTTGTTATTTAAAAGTTTACTGCGGTGATAGAATATTCATAACAGTCACAAGGTAAACATAATGTTTAAAATGATGAAAATGGTCATTAAGTTGTGTTAACTGTGCTTTTATGTTCACTTAACGAAGTTGTTTATCTTAATCTAAAATAAGTAGAAGTTTCTTTATAAAGTATCAAATATAAGTATTTGCCTTTTTAGAGTGTTTTAGCAAAGGAAAATATCCAAATAATATATCAAAATATCTAGAACAAAAAGCCACAAAAGGTACAAAAGTAACGATATCCATCAAAATGAACAAGATAAGATCTTAGACTTTTCTTTCAAAACACTAAAACAACTTAAAGCAATCATTAGAAAAATCATACAAAATCGTAGCTACTGAATTTAAGATTTAAAGATTAACATTAACCATGTCAAATACATTAAAACAATTGTTTACAATTTTTTACAAAAAAACATATAATGATGATATCCATCATTAGGACAAAGAAGTCATACCAGTCAATGTAATTGCACCTTCATGGAGAAGTTGTCTGGAAGGACAAGCCAAGAGCCGTTCACATGGTTGTCTGGATAACTTTGGTTTCAAATACTGGAATGATAAGTATTTCTTGACTAATGTAACTATATTAATTCAATAGAGTGTTAAACATTATATTAAACAGATTTTTCAAAGTTCAATAATGTAGAAAATCATAAGCTTATTGATATACTTTCGAATATGTTGTCGGAGGTAACCAAGTACTAAACAATGAGTTTTTAGTTGTTTTCGCAAGGAACCCATAAGAACCTTAAACCCATGTGACTTAAAGCCGTTGGATTCCTTGTCTAACAGGTACAACACGAGACCACCTTTACACGTATGCTTATGTAAAACGATTGTGACGTGTCTGTCTTTCGTTAAAATGTGCAAACGTACAATTATCGTTTGAGTTAAATCACTTATAAAACAAAGCCATTATAATAAGGACTTCTATATATCACATATATATAGATAAGACAAAAATAGTATCTCACATCTGTTAGCGTGTTAAACTCGTTTGATTAAGAGATTTGCTTGCGATGATTGGTGAATTTATATATATGTGCGGACTGTTAATTCTACTTTTATACATGATGAATTTAAAATAATATTGTTAATTAATTATTAAATCAAAAATAGTTCACGCTCTTAAGTAACGATGTTATTTAATGCTACCTCTGGGATGAAAGCTCGAGAGTCGAGATCTGTAATTGATGGCCATATCAGGTGGCGCTGTATTTCCTGAACACGCTCAAAATTCTTTAGCCATTTCATTTTCTCCTCAAGTTGCCCTGATGAATAATTGACAAATGATTAAATCTGCAACAATCTTGTTATTTCTTAAGATTGCATTTCAAAACTTATAGCTACAAGGTGACTGATGTTCTATATGTAAGAGTTAATCCAACCAAACGGTAATATAATCACAACACTTTTGAGATGAAGTACATGCTTAACACTTGAACTGCTGTTTGGTTAACTACTTTTTCAGAAAAAAATCAAGTGTATAAAGCAATTAACTGATAGAACCAAAGCTTATATAAAAGACGAAAAAACACAACTACTACTCACGTAATGACATTTCGACTTTTTCGATAGATTCCACAATTTGAGTTTTTTCTACAGGATCTTCTGTATATTTCTGTATATTGTGAAGAAGTAAAGGCAATTTTGTACAATGCTGCATTGGTCCAATCAGCAAATCAGCTAACTGTAAACGATTACATCTTTGGTCTTGTTCGCACCACTAAAAGTATTAAATTTTAGTTATACAATAACTATTTCTTTTCTTTCCCTGTTTATTGAACATACATATTTTAATTTAGTGTATTAATAGCGGGATGTTAACTGTCTTTAAATTATATCTTTGTGAATTCAATTTATAAATGAAACATCCAGGTACTTTGACAGTATGTATAACAAGGAATTAAACATTAATATACCTTACTTTTGTGTAGGATAAAATACTCTGAATTGAAAAGGCGATATGATTTTCTTAAATCATTAAAAGAGTCAGACAAAAACATATCAAAACTAGAAAGTACCATTTCTTTCTGTATTTTACGGTATATTTGAGTGAGGGAAGGTTTTTGATTCTTATTTTTGATTAACAAAAAAGAACTCCATAGAAAGAAATGAGATATAGCATGAAAACAGAAACACTTTGTTAAATTAACCTTTTCAAATTCACAGAATTCGTCGTTTTTCCGCAACTTCTCTAGGTATGATAAAGCGTTTGTATAATTGAGACAATATGTGTGATAGACGCTGCCGTCCTTGGAATGTTTCGAAAACTGAAAAAAAAACGATTTGCATTTTTAAGTGTATTATATCAACGCAAGTTTGTCATCTGAGGTTTTGGAAGATGGAATGTATTTTTATGTTCCATGAAATAAAATTACTTGTTTTGTTAACTTCAATCAGGACAATTCAATCTTTAAAAATCTTAAAAATGACGTATTAAATGCATGTTGTATGTATGTTGTCAAACAGATTACTCTAAACTTGTTAGTTTTCGATCATATAAAAACGTTTATTTCTTTTGAATATGTTATGTCTTACCCTTTGAAATGCTTTTATTAGTACTGCTGTAGAACCAAAATCCGTAGCACTCATATCCTTTAGTAATGAGGATATAAAGTCTTTACAAAATGTATAGCTTACCTGAAATAATAAACAAACATAAGAAACCCCTGATACAAAACAATTATAACAAAATCTACAATTTTATTTAGCATCATATATATTTTTGGACCACACTGATCGGTTTCAAATAATGAACAAAAGAGAAATAGGGTAAATAAATACAGTTTTTTTTCACATTATGTAAAATAACAAAATTAATATAAAAAGGGACTTATTATAATGACATGACGGATACATTTACAAAGAATATAACAAAACGTATGTGAAGTCTTCTTAAATGAAATACATTAGTCAGATTTGTCATGAACAATATGAATAATATAAAGAAAAACCAAAAGCAAGGTCTTACATAGCAAAGCTCATCAAGGTTGCTGAATATTTCTGAGGGTTCAGCATACATCAGAAATCCTTCCACTTGACATTTCTTCAAGGGTTCTAGGAAACACTGAAACCATACAAAAATTCTAACATGATTCCGTACCATGATATACACACACATATTGAAAAAAATAAAATAAATCAAATACCGTTTTCAGCTTATCAAATGTTGCATCAAAAATGCAATCATTGATCTATAACATCAGGTTACGTTATGAAACACAATACAAACTTAAAGCTTAATCAAAATTACCGAATTTATCAAAACAAACTTTTAAAGCTGTCTGGAACATTATTTTTTTCAAAGAACGTGATAAAATACCTACATGTTTTAGCACCATCAAGTGATCGATGAGAAACACACATTCACTTTTAAATAATTCCCAGACGGATTCACGCCGTTTTCTCTCCAATTCTGATATGTTGAGTGTCTCTGTGATTGACGTTTGTTTATCTGTACTGGCAATTAGGTCTGTCCAATGAATACTCTGAATGAAAAAAATTGAACAATTAAGTTAAACTTTATAAATAATGAGTTGAAATGTTCGCAACTTGTGCAGGCAATACATCAGTATCACATTTGATAATTCCTTAAAATGTTTTGCATAAAATGACGCCGTTGCAAAGTTGTTAACGCATCGGACTACCAATCTTTATAATATTAAAACAACTGCTGGCTTCATGGGTCAAAATTTATTTAAAGACAAATCGTTGTTTTTTTTCTTGAGAAAGATGATTTATATAAAATGCTTTATTTTGTTCAGTATAAGGAAGAGATGTGACTGTTTAAGTATGAATCAATATCTAATTCAAGATCAAACTTCAATACATGTCAAATATTTTCTGTCTTATAAATAGAGCATTAAAACCTTTACCATTGCTGATAATATTTTAAGACTTTCGGGAATATTTGGTTTTATAAAACTATACCCATCTAAACTTAAAAAGTGTCATTTTGATTTCGTTTGTCAATGCAAAAATAGTTGTTTTTATATAAAACAAATACTTTACCTTGTATGCTGCAAGATGATTGTCTTTAAATTCGGAGGCTTTTAGTTCTTTCAATACATCACTTAAATGAAGAGATTCTTTACTTCTTGTTTTCATCTAAAACAGATAAAACATATCATAAGATTTATAGGAGTACAAGAACAAAAATATAATATTTATCTTGCAATTTACATCGATTTTGACAAAGATATTAAAGAGAATGCTGCCTTCGTTGAATACCGCTTCGCCTTGTTGATATTTGTTCTCACATTAACGAATGTATAAAGGAGTGAAGCAGGAAAATTCTCAATACTGTATTAACCATGGAACTAAACACGGATTTGGGAATTCGTTATCAATTCTAAATTATTATAAAGGGCGATTCAAAAGGTGAAAAGCCTATCGCAGAACATGATTTAATAAAATGAGCGGTTAATCCCACTGAAGACTTTAGAAAAAATTGTTAAAAAATCATTGAATCCTTCATATTGTATTGCTACGTTAGTGTACGGACGTTCAAGATGTCAGTCTGATAGACTGATAAGGGAAATTCCACATGATGCAAAATACTTAAATGCGTCAACAATACGACAAAATCAGTGTATAAAATCAATAGCGAATACGTTTCCAATTTTAAACATCCTAATTTGAGAAAAATTCCGAGAAATGACCAAATTCAGTCAGAAACAGTCCTCAGTATTGATTTGAATGACTGTTTACTTAACCTCTAGATAAGTATAAGCACCATTGAAGATACCGCTGATTTTACGTCTGTTGATCATCTAATAGGTTAATGAAGTGTGAACTTTTAATCAATAAAATAGCAGAGAGCTTAGCTGGAGATTTTCTGTATTACTTACCAATTTCAGTAATGAAAAAGGTTGGCGTTGTTTTTTGTTATCTGGAAAATACAATACACTAAGATAACCTTTTGTTCTTTTTTAAAGGAAATTAAAATTAAAATAATATAGCACTATTGTGTTTGCCATTAATCAATTAATCACTGCCGCTTGATATTGTCAGACCAAAAAAGATACATGAATCCATCATTTGCTACGAATTAATCTGCTTACAATTTGCCATATTATTCACAAAAGATTCAAGAACTTTGGAGAGATATGTATCATAAAAAGTAACATTTGTAGTTATAATATTTAATTTTAATAGTCAACAATATACAATACTTAGTACGTAAGAAATATTATATCTCCTGAATTTAAGCCATTTTCCTATTGGCTTGTCTAGTAATTGTCTTGTAAATATTGTTTGATATTATTTGGGTTGTTGACAATTGAAATATATAAGTTATTTATGTGAAGCTGTTGAGAGTGATGGAATGTTAATTCATTTTGTTGTATTTTTGTTCATTGTTTACATTCAAAAGGTCACATAAATATGTTCCTACATGAAGTGACAAATAACCTTCCGACTTATTTAGTGCATTCCTGTAAATCTTAGAAATAACCAAGACAAACTTCTTATAATTTTACAATTAAAGCTCTGACAGAGAATTACCCATTTAAAAATAAACTATAATTTGGTTAATCATGCAAATGTTTTGTTTACCTTCACCGAAAGGAGGAGTTGATCCATTTCTTCCAGCATAAAAATCAGATATAGTGTTACGTTTTATGAGCTTTTTATGGTGCTCCTGAACTAGAAGATCGCCAGGATACACATTCATTGATACGTCATGCGAGCTGCGCCGCCGCCGAAGTCTTTCAGCTATGTTACTATTAAAAAAAGAGATATTTTAACTCATTTGAAAATATAGAAGGCCTCTCATGAAACAAACAATAGGCCAAAATACTTAAATCATCAATCTGATGCAATAATTAAATCGTATTGTGTGGAATGACTTAGAATCGGTTGAAGTATAAAAGTTTAAACCCGAAAGTAGATATTATCATTTCATGAAATTTGTGAAAATATACAGTTGACTACTATGTGTTTTCTGGAAATATAGACAGCTAACAGCAGTTCAGCTTTAAAATGCTATTTTTTTTAATTAATTGTTGAGTACTATGGGTTTTCCGGAAATATAAACAGCTAACACCGGTTCAGCTTTAAAATGCTATTTCTATTAATTTTATTAATCTATTATTTGATATTATGTATATATTTTTTCATCGTTGTTGTTGTTGACAATATGGGACTTTTTATAGCCAGGAACTACAAGATGTCGGTAAAAATAAAATGTAAAAAAATCTATAAAAAAATTATAACCATATTACAAGATTAACATCGTTTACTCTTTTTTCAGATGTTTATTGAACAAAATTAAAATATAAGTCACCTGCCAGATTCGCCTTCATCACATGAATTACTTGGTGAAACATCTGGGGAAAGCTGGGTAGGCGATACGTCACCAAAATTCTACAATGATAGAACATACCAACATCAAACATGTGTGCAAGGCATTTGTTAGTATGTGTGTGCGTGCGAGCACATGAACTTGTGTGTACATGTGGACGTGAATTTAGCAGGACAAAATGAAAAAGTATTCCAATTTTCTCGTCGGAATGAACATATTATACGTACTTATTCTTTTTCTGATGGCATTGCTAGATTGCTGGATTTGCCCTCAGAATTGATATAATTTAAAAAATAAATTTCCCTCACTTTTCATATTATTTTCATATGATAAAGAGAATGTAAGATAATTATCATGAAATAAAATTTGAATTGAATAAAAAATAATGTTTCATAAAAATAGTAAAACATATAGAAAGTGACAAAGAAATTATTTCAGAAACAAACCTATAGCATTCAAAGGATAAGTTAGCAAACTTTATACATGTAATTTAGTCTAGGTGTTAAACAAAAATGTTTCAGTTATGTACTATAAATTACTATTTTATCCATCATTATGTCATTAGTGGCAGAATTCAAGTGTTTATCTGTGTTGAATAAAAATGTTTATACTGTAAGTCTAAGATTGGAGAAGTGGTAACAACATCGCATGGGTAACTTTTAGCCATCCATCATACTCTCTACAACGGTAGAAGATCAGTTCAGTTACATATACATGTAATGTTTCCGCGCGGAGTTTTGAACGTGTCGTCTATTTATATTGAATGAACGTTATATATGTCTTTACATTGCCTTTGTTAATTTCATTCATATATATTAAATGTTGCTTTTATATGGCAGAATTTTTGTCCATTAACTTTAAAAAACTACCTTAAAGTTTATTAATAAACAGAAATTTTTGTAAATTCTTTAAGAAATCGTGTTATCATTTAATTATAGTATGACGCTGTTTGAAGAAATACCTGAGACGTAACAAAAAAGAGAAATAAGTAAGATTAGTTATTATAGCGAAAAATTTCTTCAAGGCTCGGATATATTAAAACGGATATTAATCGGTGGTTCCTAAGAATAAGCAATGAGCAGACTATCAACGTAAGAACAGAGGTGCGGACTAAGTGAATTCTTAAAACACTTAAAACCTTAGAAGCACGCCTTTTTAGTTCTTTTGAATGGTTGTAAAAAAGGACAACAATTCCCAACATTCAACCTAAATCACAAGAACCATAAGACACCAGACAACTCTGTTATTAAATGAAACGTGTAAAACTAAACGCATTCATGGAAACAGTAAGTAAAGAGACTGATGCTTTAGATCTATATTGGATACACTCAAGAGAGTATATATCAATAACATGGGGAAATCTACATATCCATTACAAATATTGATTCTCTAGATTTTTGTCATCAAATGTGAAATCATTAGAATCATCAATGGGATAGAGAAAAAAGCCTATCGCTCTTGTGTGACATTTTCCAGTCGTTGAAATCAACTTAGGATCGGGAAAGATTAATTTCAGCATAATGTTCCTGACAAAACATTCAGTCATTCAGACGAGTGATAGAGTCGGGTAGAGAGGCTTTTTACACTTATATGGTGTGCTTTCTATAAAAAATATCAAATCTATATAAATTAAAACAAACAATGTTATTTGTGTTATTTTTAGGTAACGCTAGTTTTTTAAAACGACTGTTTTTATTCGATTAGTGTTGTGAGAAAACTAATCAGCATTTCGTAAAATTCCCAGTCTTGATATATGTGCATATCTAAATATATATTACGTAAAAAGGAAAATAGAAATATATCCATGAATTCATTTTTTGTAAACCCAATTAAATAATTTGTATTGACGTGTAAAGTTCTGAATTGCCAGACTTGGAATTTAGACATGTCCATAAGAAGTTGAAGGCATTCTAATATGAAAATACAATATTTTGTGTACCAACAGTATAAATCATGGCAGCATGGTCAGACTTTATGAATGTACACATTCGTCTAGCCTGTTAAGATCCTTCGGGTTAAAGGTCAATTTTATTTGAATTTCACTTATGGTACTCATAGAAAATTATGTTGGTACGTTTGCTAAAATAAATATTTTTTTTAAGCAAAACGCTATCAGAAAACAAATTATATTATTCACAAAAGATACTTACAATTAACTTAATCGTTTTAAATTATCGTTTAAAATTATCCTAACCTAAGATAATAACTAAGGCTAAAATTTCATTATTTAAGGAGACTTTTATGAATAAGCAGGAGACGATAATTAAGACAATAATTATTTGTTTTGATTTACCTTTGTGTCAACGATTGCTGCTCTACGACCTCTCCTAGCAACCGGTGGGGCAATTTCATTATCACTTTCGTCTGAGCCACTGTGTAAACTTCCGGAACTCAAACGTCGTTGAGGCTGCAATTGAAGACATAATTCTTTATCAAATTGTCAAAAACGACTGACAGTGTCTATAGTCTTTCTTTATCAGTCTATGTTTCATGACATAACATGAAGTAATTATCTATTTTTTCAAATGTCATGTCATTTCTTTATTTGAAAAGAATTGATGGGTATTTGGCGTGTATAAACATGTGTTTGCAATAAAACCCTCGCTGGTACAAGCTTATACCTGACCGTATAACATGACAGAAGTCTTTAAAATTGATAAACTATAAACTTGTAATACTGATTAAATATTACCTTACAAACCACTGACAAATAAAGTGCACTCCAATTAAGTTTGGAAGTGTTTGTATTAGATAAGTTTTTATGCTTTCAATCTCTTTCTATGAAAATATTCCAAAAGAAATATTCATAGTTTGATTCAATAGGGTATTTTTGGCAACAGGAACGTATTAAACATTTCGACAGTTGCTTAACATGACATTAAATAAGTATATTTTATCTAATTATTTTAAGTTCATATAATACATGTATCTATATTTATACTTTATAACTAATAGTTCACAATAAACTTTTAATTAGTTCATGTTTTTTTTATAAAAATAGAACAAATAGAAATAAAGGGTCAAAATGATGATAACACGATTCACAAATATCTGTTGTTTTTTTTTTTCAGACTTAGCAATAGAACAAATAGAAATAAAGGGTCCAAATGATGATAAAACGATTCACAAATATCTGTTTTTCAGACTTATCAATTTGAAAAAGAAAACATATTGTCGCTTCAAGTAAAAAGTATATCATATTTTAACAAATGCAGCACACTTTTACTTGTTATGTGATTTGAAAACATTTATTCTGAAGTTCCTATACATCACATCGTGTGTAATATTCCAAGAAGGGAATAAGATATCACTTTCGAAGTGTCATAAATCATGCTCATTTTATCGCCTTTCGTCTAATAAATGATCAAATATATCCATTATGCTATGACAACAAACCTTACTAGGAACATTGAAAACAAGAAAAGTATAGAGCGAGAAAATGTATAACATACATCATACGAGAAGAAAAACGAAGCTTTCATTCATGTACAAATAGAGAAAATAAGATCCCCTACAACGGATATTTAAATCACATTTGATCTTTCTGAATGAACTCTCAATGATAGATGTCATAAGAAAAATCTAGACAATTTTGAGGAATTGATTTTCTGGATATTTAAGCAATGCTATTTTGTAATATCCGATGTTGTAATGTGATGAAAAATGAATAAGGTGTAATTCGAGGAATACAGTTGTAACAAAAATGTAAATTTACGTACATTTCAATGAAAAGTTTTTGATTAAAAGTTAACTGGCATATTAGTTAATTCTTTATTCATAAAAATGTGCTTGGTATTTATATATTCGTGTGCTCATAAATGGACAACCAAGGCAAGATATATGATAGATATGACAGACCATAATTGAAATGAAGAGCGCTCTTTGATAATTTAAATATGTTGTTTTTTGAAGTCAAAGTGTTATTTGATCATTCTGAAAAAAGTCGTACCTATTATCATCATCAGAGGAAAATATTGAAAATGATATATTTTTCAGTTAATTGTACTAATTTACTAATTGTTTCTTTTCAAAAATATACAAATATCATATCAAACCCTTTACATTTACTAAATATATATCATTAATAACATTATTGATTTTCCTCTACTAATGCATTTCCATTTACCCACCGTAATTTCGTAACTCTCCGAACAAACAACTGTATTTTGTTATGGAAATAGGAAGATATAACCTGTAATGAGGGACAGTAGTGAATAACCTTCCCTGAATACTCCCTATAAATAGATAGGTCCTAAGCTATTGGATTACTCGGACTTTATCGCCTATTTCTTTGTAGCAAACTAAATTAATTAGGGCTAATTATGATCGTTTGTAATATTCAGATTAGATATTGCAATAAGATGTAGAATCTGTTGACATAAATGAAACATTTTTTCCTTAAGGTTTACATATTTGTTGATGCATGTGTAAATAATTGATTAAGACATATCAACCTGTCTTATATAAAACTCAACGATAAAACCAAATGATTCAAAATATTTGGACCTACTTATATTTTGTTAACCTCGGTTTTTATCAAGGGAAGATAATCCACTACTGTCCCCCATTAATCAAAGATTCGGCATCAATTTACTCGAGCCTTGAATATATACTACTTGTATATATCTTTATGTATTTTGTTTTCGGTCGCCAGTGCTTGCGTTGACAAGTACTTATTCTGTTTTTTATTTGACTTCCTTTGTTATCTAAAAAAAATGGTTTTTATTTGCTTATACGAAATATTGATCAATTTCATTTATATTTTTCTGAATTTAGACTCCAACACCATTAAATCTAAAATGACAGATCGAGATTTGTTTGACTTTGCTTCAATTTTCAATTTTCTAGAATAAAATAAAATTGCCCAGACTACTTGAGTAGTGTTTTGAACTTTAATGTTTAAAGCAAATACTACGATATTTTTTATTAAAAGTACGTGTTATTAAAAATATTATTGGAAAATCAAACGACATTTGATTTGACAAAAAGAATCCAGATTTTTATTGTTTTGCTAAATTATTTACATTGTCTTGTTCTAACATACGATTTAAAGATACTTTAAAAATCACACAGTGAGCATTTGTTTGCTTAATGTAAACAACAATGTCATCAGCTAAACGTTTATGTAGAAAGGTAACGTGTTTACAAGCATTTTATATGCTCGAAAATGCTTTGATGTGTATAATCAATATGATCAATTAGAACAGGTTTACATGCAGCTCGTTCAGGTTTATGTAAATTATATTAAACTGATCACATATCAATAATTGGATTAACCAGAAAGGAGTACAAAGTGCATACTAAATCATATATGTGTCTTCCAATTGGGTATTACCAGAGAGTTATTGCTTAAGCACGGCATTGTCAAGGGAACTTCTTTGGCAAATTGATATTCTGGAGAACCGTATTTGAGAGAATAAACAATGCGTTTCCACGCTTATTAAGGGAGGGTATTTGAAAATAAGTACAAGTATGTATAAAACATTGTCGAACTAGTTGATTTATCACTTGTATAAAATCAAAACATGAGTATTTAAAAATCATTCTCATATTCATTGCTTGGTATTTTGCTATAGTCATAGTTTTACTTGTCAGAGCTTTATCTCATAATTAACTTCTGAGTAGATTATGGCCTTGCAACAACATTATATAATTTAGGGACTAAGGAGCCTGAAACCAAAACACAACATATAGCATGTTGACTGAAAGTTATTATCGATTGTCACTAAATAAAATCACTAGTTATTGGTTTTTATAAATAATGTAAGAAATTGTACTTATATAACATAAGCATGCATGCCGTATCTTTCCTGTTATTATCCAAGTATTATTAATTCATTTCGTAAAGATTGCAAAACAAAACAGTGTTGAATAAAATAACCACACAGTTACCGATGTGATCATCCCCTCTCTCAGTTATTATCCTGGTTAGGATCAGATAAATTTGTACACTGTTGGACAAATTACAAGAACGTTTTAATTACTATAATCAGAAACAACACAATGTTATTCGTTGATAAAAAAAGTTTCTAGATTAAAAGATCAACAATATTGATATAAATTCCCGACAAAATCAACTTTTTGTTGAAAGAAATAGGCAATACAATCCGGTTTTTTTTCGTTATTGTTTTATTGACTCATCATATCAGCAATTGATCTGAATTAGACCTTTCGCCAAATATACCTTTGTATAATTTGAGTTTAGTAATCCGTACTCATCAATAGGGAAATTTACCATATTCGAAAGCATTATATTATATTTAATTTAACCTTACATTCTGTTGATGAACATTTACTGATTTTCCATAAGAGTAGTAATTATCATAAGATGGATTATCTATTATCCCAGAAAAGAATTTATTTCAAACGTTCTACTGATGCAATTCTCATATACTGATATTATTATTTCGAAGAGCATATTTTAAAATGGGGAACAAAACCGAAGAACATGATTGCAAAAAAATGTTGTTGTTAGTCCGTTTAATCTTCAAATAAACACAACACAAGACATGCAATTAGAGAAATGGAAGTGACATAAATGTATACTGTGCATGGGAACTCAATGAAACATCATGTTGATTAGGTTAATGAAGAGACATTTGACTAGCGTGCGGATGGTTTGGGTAAAACAATAGAAAGGCATCTCTCATTAGCTCAAATGGCTACACAATATATATACATGACTTAACTGTAGTTCATTCGAAATAAGAGTTATTCTTTCTGCGTCAATATTACGGTTTCATTTTAACTTTAAATTTTTATCAAGTTAATATGAATGAAAGTTGAGAAAATTGTGGTAAACTTGCAAAAATACACTTAAACGCAAACAAAAATTGTACTGGTTAAACAGATGTTTCATTGGCATCTGAAAACAATAGGAATTACCTTATAAATAACACTAATACTTATTAAAATTCTTTAATAAGAAAATAAGATGAGAAATTTGAAATTTTCAAGTTTGTATGTAAATAATAAAATACATCACCTTTCGTTCCTTTGATAAATTTAGGGAATCGAAATATGATTGATCTACGGTATATCCTCTCTTTAATTTAAATTGCTTACGTTTGTTTGATCTCGTCAATGACATTATCACTGTATTTACTATGTTAAATCCTATTACATGTAACTACCATTATAATATTTAACACAAATCTAATACTTATTTTACAAAAACACAAAAATAAACATTTTGCAGGTTTCCATCTATGTTGATTGAAACGGCAGCTCTAGTTAGATAAACGTCTGTTAATGCTATATATTTGTCCAATTAAATTATTTTACAATATGTAATTTTCTTCAAAGTATAACATATTTAAACATTCACTTAATACCACAAAACAGTGTATAAAAATAACACCATTTTTATACTCATAACGATGGAACATAATCCATTTTATTCAAAAT